ATAAGGTTAGCAGTAAAGTTGTGCTAACATGCTAAATAACAAAGTTAGCAGAGGAAGTATGCTACTATGCTAAATAACAAGGTTAGCAGAGGAAGTTTGCTACTATGCTGAATGGCAAAGTTATCAGGCATGTGCTACTATGCTAATTAACAAATTCAATAGAGAAAGTGTGCTACTATGCTAAATAATAAGGTTAGCAGTAAAGTTGTGCTAACATGCTAAATAACAAGGTTAGCAAAGGAAGTGAGCTACTATGCTAATAAGCAAAGTTAGCAGACATGTGCTACTATGCTAATTAACAAATTCAATAGAGAAAGTGTGCTACTATGCTAAATAATAAGGTTAGCAGTAAAGTTGTGCTAACATGCTAAATAACAAGGTTAGCAGAGGAAGTATGCTACTATGCTGAATGGCAAAGTTATCAGACATGTGCTACTATGCTAATTAACAAATTCAATAGAGGAAGTGTGCTACTATGCTAAATAACAAAGTTAGCAGAAGTGTGCTACTATGCTAAATATCAAGTTAGCAGAAAACCTGTGCTACTATGCTAATTAAAGTCTACAGAGGAAGTATGCTACTATGCTGAATGGCAAAGTTATCAGACATGTGCTACTATGCTAATTAACTAATTCAATAGAGGAAGTGTGCTACTATGCTAAATATCAAAGTTAGTGGAAGTGTGCTACTATGCTAAATAACAAAGTTAGCAGAAGTGTGCTACTATGCCAAATATCAAGTTAGCAGAAAACCTGTGCTACTATGCTAATTAAAGTCTACAGAGGAAGTATGCTACTATGCTGAATGGCAAAGAGTGGAAGTGTGTTACTATGCTAAATAACAAAGTTAGCAGGTATGTGCTACTATGCTAAATATCAAAGAGTGGAAGTGTGTTACTATGCTAAATAACAAAGTTAGCAGGTATGTGCTACTATGCTAAATATCAAAGAGTGGAAGTGTGTTACTATGCTAAATAACAAAGTTAGCAGGTATGTGCTACTGTGCTAAATATCAAAGGTAACAGCGGAC